TCGTTTTACTTTGATCCTTAAAATTGTGTCAACTAGTCCAAGATCTTTCATATTGAATGTTCAAATTAGAAAAATATTTGTTTCTAAAATTTCATTCTTTTTTCTAATGATAAACATGTAATCTACATATAAATAAAGGAATACCACAATGTTCCCACCCAACTTTGTGTACATACAGTTGTCACAAGATTTAGATGAAGAAGTTTTTTAGATGATCGTGCATGATGATGTAAGAAGGTTTTTAGATGAAGTTATAGATGAAATTTTGAGCAATTTAAATTAGTATAGTATGAATTGTAATAAGCACCTTATTCATGTTCTCTTCTCTTAAATCTTCACTAGAATTTCTATGTTCAACCTTATTGATTAATTTCATCATTAATGTGCATGACACTTTTGATCTTTTTCTTCTTTAATAATCTTTGTCTTCACCAAAAATGAACTAGATATACGATGTATTCTTCATAATATCCCCCTTTCGATGATGATAAATCATTTGAATTTGTGCTTATTTAATGATTGAAATATCTCCCTCTAAGTTGTGTGTGTGTCTCCCCCTTAATTGGTGAATCTTGCAATGATAAAGTCAAACTTTTTGATGTTATTATTTTAGTGATTGTTTTAATCCATACAAGAATTTGACAAGCTTGCACATCTTTTGTTCATAACCAAGAAGCACATAACCTTCTGATTTCTCCATGTAGATCTCCTCATCGAGATCTTCGTTTTTGAATGTAGTTTTGACGCCCATTTGATAAACTATAATATAATGCAAACAATAATCTAATATTTGTTGTGCTTGCTTCTAGTACATACGTGTCGAAATAATCAACACCTTTGTTTTTTGTCTAAAAACCGTTGGCTACTAATTTAGACTTGTAGGTGTTTAGTATACCATCACAATAATAATTCTTTCTAAACACCTATTTGTATCCAATGGGTCTTGATCCTTTAGGTAGATCGACAAGTTCTCAAGTATGGTTTGATATTGTTAAATTCATTTTATCTTGGATAGCATCCTTCCAAAAGGAGAAGTCCCTTGAAGCCACTGCTTACTTATAAGTATTAGGACCATCTTCTACTTGGAGAATAATAGGAATCTTATGAACAAAATTCACACTATTTTCTTCTACAGGATAAAAAGAAATAAGTCGAGAATCAATTTCATTTGGTCTTAGATCCTTAGCCTTTCAGACTTTTGTTTATCCTAAATTTGGATTGTGTTTCAATAATCTATAAAAAAAATTTCAATTTGTGTTTCAATAGTCCGTGGAGAATCTTTCTCACGAAACTCTTAAAGAATTCCACATTACTAGATTCAATAATTTCATTAAACTTCAAATTCATAAGTTTATATTAGTCATGATTCATCTTTGAATAATCTTTATATGTCTTATAATAATAAGTATTATTGAACACATGCATGTTATTCCCTTATCTAAATAAAATTCAATTGTTTAATTTAAAATCATGAACTCTAATAAATCTCATCACTTTAGTGATTAACAAATTTCTAAATCAAATAATTTTCTAATTAAACAATACATTTTTAACTTCAAAATTAAAAAATAGATTGAAGTTCATAATCAAAATTCAATTGTAAAATTTAAAACTATGAACTTCTTTTTTAAAGTTTGATCACTTTAGTAAACAAACTTTACTTTAATAAACACTTTCAAAGTATTAGTGTAATATTTTATTCAAAAATTAATAAGTAAATTGAAATTTTTAATCTCGTTTAACTACAAGATTTATTATAGAAACCCATGAAAGCAATACAAAATTAAAATGTTACTATTACATATGATTATGTAAAATGATTTAATATTTTTTTAACACAATACAGAAGCACATACTTGTTTTTGGTTGTTATTGTATATGCATATGCATGGATTTATTACAATAGAAAGAATGTATACATTCATTCTTTATATTAAAATACAGTTCCATAATGTTATGCCGAATCATGGCCTCTGTTCAAGATACATAACAAAGCATCAGTTCATAATAAAAAAATATTCAAAAGCAAGGCAATAGTTCATGATGAAAACATTCAAAACCTAATGTGATTATCTTCTTATAGTAATATACTTAAATTAATTATCAATTATATACACTGCTCACACAGGCCATAGAAATACATGTTAGTACAACCATATTAATTATTTAATGCAAACAAAACACATGCATTATGAAAATAATTCCATTAACAGATATAAGACCATATCTATAACATATCAATTAATTCAAAAATACTTTTGTATGATATAATTATTATTGGAAAATTATAATATCAATAACCATTATTCTGGTATCAATGGTTAGAAAATTTCATATTTAGGATCTTGATATTTATTATTCTGGTATCAATGGTTAGAAAATTTCATATTTAGCATCGTGATATTTTGATTTTCACAATGCTCTAATTTTTATGAAAAATAATAAAATGTATTCAAATTCATTTTGTCGATTATTGTTTTTTATTTTAGATATGGAAGCGTCGGTTTCTATTACATGAAATATTATAAAATTGTTAGAAAAATTAATTGTAAATTAAATAGATCGATGTTAGAATTATGAACGAATTTATTTCTTTATAATATCAGGAATATCCAACACAATTCAGTATATATTCGAGTTTGCACAAGATCGGTAAAAACTTGAATGTAGGGAAGATGAAATCTGAAATTTTATGTGAAGATGTTAGATTTTTCTAATGTGTTTTTTTGAATATGAAATTCTCAATTTATAGGTCAAAATGGTGATGTTTTACAAGATTGCGATCCTTGATGAAACACACAATTTCACCAACACTTTTATTAAATGTTGCACTGTTTTGTCTAAAACAACACTTTTCAAACGCTATATTGTTTTGTCTACAACAACATTTCAGAAGTGTTGCCTATTCTGACTGCATTTTGCAACACTTCACGAAGCAATGTCTATTTTCGAATACAAATCGCCTCTTGGAACACTTCACAAGCGTTGCCTAGTTTCAAATTTAAATTACAAATTGCCTACTTCAACACTTCACAAGTGTTGCCTATTTCTGAATTCAAAAAATAATATTTTCTTATCATTTTGGAACTCACTCATGGTGATTAATTATTATTAATTACAATATTTTCTTTGTAATTGTATTTCACAACTTATTCCCTTTTTTCATTGAACCTTCTCTCTAAATCATGGATAAAACTTCATACTTTTACTGTATTTTTAAATTTTTGGTACGAGTTTTCACCAAATATTTTAAGAATTTGATGCATTAATACAATATTTTTTGAAAAATCCAATAAGCAGAAAAATTCTCAGATATCCTAAAAGAAATAGGAAGTTTTCAAATTTTTAGAAATTTCGATATACCGAATATTTTGCCCAATGTGAAAAATATGGTAGTTCAATTCATGATACTTTCTTTGTGCGTTCTCAGGATGGATAATTTCTCTACAAATTTTATGCAGTTCTTCACCATTGACGTTGTATATTTTACTTGCATGTTTTATTTTTAACTTGTACAAAATTTAATAAGCTTTGGGTATCTCTAGCCAAAAAGGTTAAAGATACACCCAAGTACTTTCCTAGTATTCTCCAAATAAACTCCCAATTAAGTTTATCATAAGCTTTGAAAAGATCCACCTTAGTAGTTTCACCCCGATCATTTTATTCATACTATGTACCATCTCTTGAGCCACAATAAATTTCCATATATGCTTCTACCCGACACAAAACCTATTTGAAAAGGTGACACTAGCATCGAAATGCAATCTTTGAGTCTCTCAATAACAATTTTATTCACAGTCGTATAAATTGTATTGCACGACAAAATAAGACAAAATTGATTCAGAAACTCCAGTTGTGACACTTTCGGAATACAAATATCGGTTTGATTTACCATAGATAAAACACTGGGTTGATCCCAACTCATTCGAACAAAATCACAAACAGATTTCTCCACAACATCCTAAAACTTTTGATAAAATCCGGCAGAAAAACCATCGGAGTCTGAAGCCTTCCACGAAGTCATATTAAAGAGTGCTCACTTAACCTCCCCTTCATCAATATCCATATTCAATCTTCCTAAGACCTCTACCCCAACTTTGGTAAAGTAAAATTAGTTTCAGACCAAACATTACTCTCATGATTAAGAGTAAACAAGCTTTTGTAGAAATCATTCACCATACCATGAACCTCCTCTGCCTCTTCAATCCAATGCCCATTCTCATCTCCAAGCATTACGACATTATTTTTCCTTCTACGTTGCACAGTTTTAAGATAATAATATCTTATATTATGGTCATCATCTAAAATCCATTTCGCTCTAGAACATTGGAACCACATGAGCTATTTATATTTTAAAATATCTCGAAGTTTTCATGTAGTTTTCTTTCCAATTTGTGGACCCCTCCCACATTATTACCATTATGCATGTTGCACTTTGTACCCTTTTAAGTCTTGTCATGATTTCCTTTTTCTTCCTATTTATCTGATCAAATGTGGGGAACTTCCACTCTTTGATTCCTCTTCTAACATTTTGCAAGTTATGCATAATATTCACATTATTATCCCATCTACTATTTAACATGATGTGTTGGATGCACCTCTGTAGTTCCACACAAAATTTTTATTTGTTGTATTCATTAAACAATCTTAAAAAAAGAAAGAAGCTAATCAAATTTCAAATTATTATTAAATCAAATGAAGAATATGATTTTCTATAAGAGAATGTTCTAATTTTACAAATAAATACAAGAGAAAAAACATACATGCAAAAGAAGACTTGTTGGGTTAGTGAAGGTCAAAATTGCTCATATCAAGATAAACTTTCATTGAAACAATTCTTAACTATTTTTTTAGTTATTAATATAATATCTCACATATTTTAATAAGTATTTTCATGATGTTACCTTTGAATTCTAATTAAATAGAGCAACTTAAACTCAATCTTTATCTATAGTTAATAATCTAACTCTTACACGTGCAATGAAGCACTCGCGCGTGCATCAGAATGCTGTTAGCGAAACATTTTTCCTAAACCTATAACAAGGCGGCGACTGTAATGGCAAAGGCGCAGGAGCATGAGGCATTGGCGACGGCGATTTCAACCGCTGAAAATAATCCCTTATATCCACACCACCTTTTCCCTCGTAAAATTTCCCCGACGGCAGTTCTCCGTTAATGTCATCTCTTCCCGGAATAAACGGCGGCCGCACCACCTTTGTCAACATTTCCCAATTAACCCCTCTGAAGAACCCATGCTCTTTGATCTCAATAGCACCACGCGAATAACCCAATCTCTTCGTAGGATCCTTCTCCAACAACCTCCCTATCAAATCCGTCAACTCCGTCCTTTTCCCAATGAACTCCGGCGGCTTTGTCAGAACATTCCTAAATGTTTCCTTCCGATTCTTCCCCTTGAACGGCGTCCTGCCGTATAGCATCTCGTATGTTAGAATCCCAAGCGCCCACCAATCAACAGCAAACTCGTGGCCATCACCTTGAACAACCTCCGGTGAGACATATTCCTCGGTTCCAACGAACGAGTTGGAGCGTTCTCCGTTTGAGAAGCTTTGTTTCCGTCGACTCACCGGGATAACTCTTGCTGACATTGTCTTCTTCAAACTTAAACCGTTCATCCGGGGATAATAATATTGAGAGGATTCTATCGGAAGAAGCTGGATCCAGCGAGAAAAGTTGCGTCGGTGTTTTCTGGAAGCTTCTGAAACCTTCGAATCAGGTAAAGACTTTGCAGAAACAATGTTGTTAGCGGTTTTGTGTTTGAGTTTCCGAGAGAGGTCGAAATCGGTGAGGGTGACGTGGCCGGAGCGTTGAATAAGGACATTTTCGGGTTTTAAGTCACGGTAAGCGATGCCCATGGAATGAAGGTGGTCGAGAGCGCAGATGATTTCAGCTAGGTAGAACCGAATAACGGTGGGAGAGAAAACGCGGTCGTTTTGGTGGTAACGGAGGACATTGAGATCACCACCTGGACAATAAGGTAATGCCCATGCAAGAAATTGTGGCGATTCGTATACGCCGAGAATGGAAGGGAGAAAAGGGTGAGAGAGCTTTGAGAGGACCTGAATTTCCCAACGGGCGCGGCGTTCTGCGTCGAGTTTGGCATGCATGGATGTTTTGTCGACGACTTTGAGAGCGAAGAGGTTGGTGTTGGTGGTGGTATTGGTGTCGGTGGTGGTGGTGGTTGTGGTTGTGGGGTGGCGGACGAGGAAGACAGTGCCCATGGCACCTTTACCTAGGATTTTGAGGGCTTTAAGGTTGTCAAGGTCTAGCTCCAACAATGGTGGAGCTGAATCCATTTTAGTTTGAATGGAAGGAGAGGAGAGAATGGAGGTCGAAGGATTTTCAAGAAATATGGTTTTGTTGGTTGGTATATGGTTTTTTATAGCATTTTCTTTATTTTGGGTTTTACTTTTTTATGCTTTTTATTGTATTTGTTTAAGGATATTCTTTCTTGCATTAGGATTTCTATTTTTTTTCTTTCAATTCTTACCTTAACTATATAACATGAGCAATTCTTACCATCATTATCATAAATCAAAAATATCTTGACATATGTATGAAAAAAATTAAAAAATCAAAGTAATCACATCATTTAATTTAATTATATTTATGTATGTTCAAACTTTTTTTAATTTTAGATTGTGTTCTCCGAAATTTAATTATATTTGAAGGGTGTTTATCATAGATTTTGGTAAATAATCGTTAGTCTTCTAAAAATGATATTTTGGTTATTTAAAGTATCGATCAGATTGATCCTAAAAAATATGTGTATAGTTTTCTTAAATTTTCTTAATGACAAATATTTCAACACTACTGTGAATCTTAAAAGTAATGCAAAAACAGTTAATGAAAAGTATATAAATGTAAAGTAACTTCGACCGAAACTTAAAAGGTATGAAAATAACGTTAATGTAAATGACTTGATATTTAAAAATGTGGTGATTCATATGTATATTTCTCTCATAAACTCGTTTCTCGACACACTTAGATATTTTGAGTGATTTTGAGTTTTGGTACAAATTGAACACACTAAATCCTGATTCTAAGACCCCTATTTATACTAAACTAAAATAACTGTCTTCGAACGGTCCCCTGTTCAGGTATCGACATGTTTCCATATGCATGCTTTCAATCTCTTAATCGCTTCTACGTACCCTTGCCAACAGATAAGATCGAAAAATAGTTATCAGTTTGAATTTTAAATCTTTTATCTCCTTTGGTCGAAGCGACAATCAACTTCATGATTTCTCATCGAACTTTATTGCCTAATTCGCAATCTCACATGAATCTTTAATTATTCTCTTATGTTCTTGTCGCAAATATATATATATATTTTTTCAACACACACTATATTCATCGAACATAGCATCAGACATGCCCTTTTAATCATTTGTTTACCAAAAATAAAATTTCAGCTAACAAATTGCCCCTCAAAAATACCGTTTCCGACTAATGGGAGAAAAATACATTTTTTGATCTTTTTAACATCTCATAAACAATGCTCTTCTGACGTCACAGTCATCGTGCCCATCCTTCCAAACATCTTCTCGAGACATACAACTTTCTAAATAGCAATGATAACTCCTAATACCTAGGAGAACGTGGGTCATTACCTAGCCAACCGTCAACTTTATCTTTAGATGGTCAAAACGTGTCCCACAATCAAAATAAATGTCCATTATCTGAAACTGAATAGTTTCATTCTTTTTCACTATAAAATCTTCACTTCTTCATTTTTTTCTTTTCTTTTCCCTCAAATCTTTCACTATTAAAACATCTTCTTCTTCCTTAAACCCAAACAACTTCAACTCTAACCTCTACAATCATGGTAGCATCAAAATCAAAGAACGCCAAAGATGTTAGTAGCTCCAAAACAACTCTCTCGCTGGTTCGTCAGATTCTCGACCTAGTTCTTGAAGGAAATCAGAAATACATTCCCGAGCCACCTCTTTTATTAGAAGAAAAAACTCGTATCTATCAATCTAAGTACTTATCACTTTTGCAATTTCTGATAAAAATATGTTTTCATGGGTCTTTTACCTGACCCTAAAATACATACTGAAAAGATGAGGGATTTCTTTCCTGCTTATCCTCGTGTACATGGCAGACCCAACACTTATGGAGGCCCGAGACAGATTTTAAATGACCTTTTTAAGTTAATAATATTTTTATTAAAAAATTTATTTTACGAGTTTTTTGAGATGCAAAATCATTTATTAAATTATTATAATCGATTTCATTTAAAATTTCCTTTTCAATTGATAATAAAGTCAATCCATTTAATCTTTTTTGAGACATTATTGATCTTAAATATGATTTTATTAACTTTAATTTTGAAAAACTTCTCTAAACAGATGCAACCGTTATAGAAATTGTTAGCATTATTCTTTAAGAAATATATACATTTGGAAAAGAATCAAGTCTCTTTATATAATTAAGTATATCAATTGGTGTATCATTTTCTACTTTTATTTTTTCTTTTAAAATTTGTAATTGCATAAATAAATCTAATCCTCCGATATCAGTTTTGTTATTATGTTTTAATGATCGTTCAAGGTTAAAATAATTCTCTTTTAAATTTTCAACTTCAATGGATTTTAACATCTTAATACTAAATAGAAAACCAAAAATGTCACTATATATTTTAAATCGTTCAAATCTACTTTGAAATGGAATGATTGTTTGATCTATTATATATAAGAAGTAGTCAATTTTAAATGATTTTTCAGGAGATTTTATAAATTCATTGTTAATAATCTCATCAAATTGTTTCTTTCTACGAATAATATGTTTTTCACAAAATTTTGATTCTATATTCATTTCAAAAGCAATTTCTTTTGCAGAAATCATAGCATTTTCAAATCCATTTGCTCTATATTTTTCAAAAAAAATAAAATAAGCCCTTTCAATTGTTCTATAGCAACATCAATACGCATATCTTTTGATTGCATATTTTTACTAATAGAGTTTACCGCAAATAATATACCATACCAAATAATCATGCCTAATAAAAATTCAAAAATTTTAAGCTCATAAGTTGCTAAACATTCAACTTCACTTTTTACTTTAGGTTCTTCGGTAATTTCACATAATTTCAATAAAATATCTCTTATTTGTAAAGTTTGAAATCTCAAAGTTTTCCCACTTTCAATATGACTTTTTCAACGTGTTTTTGACAATGATTTAAGTGTTAGGTTAGGGATATGATTTTGTAAAAATTTTCATCTTTTAGTAGAAGAAGAAAATAATGTATATATTCGCTGCAACACTCCAAAAAAAGATGTAGCTTTAGGACAACAATTAGCCATATTACAAAGTAATAAATTTAAACTATGACAACCACATGTAGTATAAAATGATCTAGGATTAATGTCTAAAAATACTTTTTGCACTCCTTGATATTTTCCTTTCATATTAGACCCATTATCATAACCTTATCCTCTTAAGTTACTAATATCAAGTCCAATAATATATATCTCATTTATAATTGCATTAAAAAGACATTTTCCAGTTGTATCATTTACTACGAAAAATTCCATAAAATATTCAAAAATCTGTATTGGAGTAGAAGAAATATCAACACATCGTAAGACAAGAGTCATTTGCTCTTGATGGCTTATATCAAGAGTGCAATCAAATATAATTGAAAAATACTTTGCATTTTTAATTTTTTGAATAATTTTTGTTTTAATTTCATTCGCTATCAAACTTATTAATTCATTTTGCATCTTATGTCCAAGGTAATGATTGTAAGTTTCTTTATCTTTAATTCGACAAATGTGTTCTTGCATTATATAATCAAATTCAACAATCATTTCAATAAGACTTAAGAAATTTCCATTATGTTCTTGATAAATCTTTTCATTTATTTCAAGAAAAGCTAAGTTATTTTTTCCAAGAGTTTTAACAACTGTAATTGTTATAAATAAAACATTTCTCCAATGTTCTCTATCTCTATTTATTTGTTCTTGAATATGTATGTCAATTGTTTTACTCTTTAACAATCTTGTTTCTAAATCAACTCATAAACTCATATTAACAATGTGTTCATCACTCGTCTCATGACTCCTCAACTTAGAACTCGTATTTTTCCAATTTTTAAGGCCACAACTTTATAATTTACTTGTACTAGAAAAAGTATTAAATAATTTACAACAAAAACAAAAATACTTTATCCAAATCTTGAGAATATATTAGCCATCTTTTTTCAAGTTTTTCTTCGTTTGATAACTTTTTAATATAAAATGAGGAAGAAAAATGTCTTGAAAATTCATCCTTAGAAAAATCTATATCGGTAACTTTAAGGGGATCTTTTTCTTTTAATAAACTTCTCAAATTGATACTAATATTTCTCCACTGATTTAAATCACGTATATTTAAATCACGTATATTTTTAGCAGTGTGTATACTATTAAGTTATTCTATTAATACATTATTATTTGTATTTTAATTATTTTCTAAGTTGTTCACTTCATCTACATTGTTAAGTTCTTCTACTAAATCTACATTTTCATGTTCGTCTATGTCTATAATGTTAGCTTCTATATTATTGTTAACTTGTTCATTCAAAGAATAATCCCCTATATTTTCAAATTTACTTTTTTTTTATGTTTGTTTTGATAAACTTATCTAAAGTTCCCTTTTGTGATTCAAGTAAAGATTCAATTTTTTTCCTTCAATTTTCAATTTTCTGATTCAAATTTTCGAATTGACATTCTTTTATTCTAAAATAAAATGATAAATATTTTGCAGTACACACTAATATAAACAAATAAAATTCAACAATAATAAAACTAAAACAAATTAAATTATTAAAAATAAAAATAACAATAAAATATTAAATAAATAAAACCTGTTATTTGTAATGGTTCTTTAATCTTGTCTTTGATATTCGTCTTTTTGTTTCTTATGTTTGATTTTTTTTTCCTTCTTTCTTTTCAATATTTGGATGAAACGGTAGAGAGAGGTAATCAATGCTAGTAGATAAAAGTAGAGAAAGAGAAAGATACAAACAGAGACACGTGAATTAATATTCTTATTGTATCTATTAGTACTATTTAATATGAATTGATTTTGGGAGAGAGAATGTGGTATTAAATTATTAGAATTATTAAATTAAAAAACTCAAAAGTGCAATGTACATTGTATATAAGTGGGCTGTTTGGATTCAAGTAACGGTACAGTAGTAGCCTATAGGGAAGTTATTAACATCAACGACATTTTATTGAACCGATCATTATATTGATAGGTAAAAAAAAATTTAGGCCCTAGGCAAAGGCCTCACTTGCCTAGCCTA